GAACACTGGCAAACACCTTACTTTGTTTCCCGCTCATCGTCATCATCATCATCATCATCATCATCATCATCATCATCATCATCATCATCATCATCAGTATTTGATAGATACTGTCCTTAATAAAGGATATAATCATAAACACAGTAACTAATCTCCCCCTGTAAATATGCTTTTCTGTCCTCTTTGGTCTTACAGGGAGCATAAGTCACTGGGTGTACTGTTCAGCTACAGTGGCATCTTGAACGGAACATGAGAAGGACAGAGGGTGGGAGAAGAAGAGTTACCCAGAGGAGGAAAGATACAGCAGGGCTTGGGTTTCAGCATCATGCCCTCATAATTGCAGGAAGTGTGGCGTTAGCTGCGTTAACTACATAGAGTCCATGTCTCTGGTTACCTTGCATTATTCACCAGGTCAGCCCTGACATGTCACCATAAGCCTTGACAGACTGGACAGATCGAAATTAGGCTCTGGCATTTCAGCCACACTGGCCCACTACTGCTGTACCACCCCAGCCCCAGGTCCATGAACTGTAGTTGTGAAGAATTTCTGGTAAATGGAACCATGATCCCCTGATCAACTGGTCCAGGAAAGCATGTTCAACTTCTCAATCGAATCATAATGAACCATGATCAGCATGCTTTTGTGGCACAGTTGATGCCACGCAGGGGCTAACTCTCCCTGCCTGTTTCATTACACTACGATCACAGCTGGTTGCAGACAATGATAAGCTAGGTAGAAATCAGATTTTCAAAATGTTTATGCTATATTTATAATTATATAAAATATACGCAACACATTTTACACCAACAGGTTTCTGTGCCAATGCACCACACAACCAACAAGCAAAAGATACCGACTTTGGGCGCTTCAACATTGTGTTTTCCTTTCCAATACCACAATCAAATAGACTATGTCAATCTAACAAAAAAATTTGAAAATAGGCCTACATCCCTTCCTACCTTGTAGGCCAACCCAGAATCGAAGGCTTGGCTTGACAAACTCCGAATGTCATTACACTTTTTGGTGTTTTGTAACAGATGTCTCTTATTATTCATCAAATGGCCGCTGCACAGTTTGGATGCTGGACTTATGTTTTGGACGAACGTGCGCAGGTAGCCTACAGGAGACTTTTGAAGTAGACTAATTGGATTAAAACGTTGTGACTGGTTGTGTTTATGGCACAAAAAGGTAATACATTTTAAAAGTGAAATTACAAAATATTTTAGCTATATTGAAGCATTAGGTTCTAGGTGCGCAAGGAATAGCCAATCGTGTCACACCCTGATTGGTTTCACCTGTCTTGTGTTTGTCTCCACCCCCCACCAGGTGTCTCCCATTTGTCCTCATTCTCCCCAGTGTATTTATACCAGTGTTTTCTGTTTGTCTGTTGCCAGTTCGTCTTGTCTCGTCAAGCTTACCCGTGGTTTTCCCGTACTCCTGTTTTCCAGTTTTTCCTGGTTTTGACTATTCTGCCTGCCCTGACCCTGCCAGCCGTTCTGTACCTTGTGACACTGTTCTGCATTACTGACCTCTGCCTGCCCTTGACCTGTCGTTTGCCTGTCCCTTTTTGCTATTTCGAATTGTCTGCATCTGGGTCTTATCCTGAGCCTTGATAAATCGTATTCAGCTTTCTTGAATAACTGGGCCTGCTGTCAGCATATGTGGCCACATTGTTATTGGATCTCAGTATCAGAACTTAAAATACAGCCAGACTGACCTACTACTGTGCCTTTCTAGACCTTATAAACTGTCGAGAGTAGACCCACAACTGATCCAAATGGAATGAAATATTCAAATGACATTTTCACTGCAGTTTACAGCCTAGAGAATAATTTTGTACTCACTTGAAAACAATAATGTAATTATTCATTGCAGTGTGGTGTTGTAGGCTAGTCTTGTCTAGGTAGGATAATCGTATTGTCCCAAAAGAAGATCAATAGGGAAGCTTTTTGAGCTGCGTGTCTCGTCTTCACTGTTCTTTCATGCGCAATGATGCACCTGGCCTCTCCGCTTATATTGAAAATGTATGCAGCTTGAATGATTTTATGTCTGGTATGATGCTAATTAGCCTATTGCAGATTTTGACGGACAATCCACCTATCACTATTGTGATTACGAATGGTAGATAGAGGGCAGGTTAGATAGGTAGACTTGTAGACTACATTGACCTGTGGTATAGTTAGCACAGAAAAGCGTAGTGCATAAGGGAAGTAGGCTACCAAAACACCTTGATATAGGGGAGACATATGCAAACAGATGAGGAAATGTGTCTAAGATGGAAGAAATTATATAGTAAAACCTGCAAAAGAGCATATGTAAACCAGGGAAAAAAACGCATTACCCTCCCATGTGCCCAATAAAAAACCACACAACCTTCCCCAAAGTAAAATGAAAAGTTAGACAACCCTCCCCTATTTTGGTCCTCTGGATGCAGTTGAACTGTCTGTGCCTAGAATCACATTCTTAGGTAGGTAGGACTGGGTCCTGATTGGATAGTTCAGCGCATCTGCTTAAAAAAAAATCCATGTCATCTCATGGGATGAGAGGAAGAGGCAAGTCAGGCAGGGGCAAGGAGGGAGGGCATGGTTAACTCAAGGCTTGGTATTAAGGGAGCATTACGGGGTGCTCGTGGATCAAGGATCAAAACACAATCGACTAACTTATTTCCCAACATGATTTTAATTAAAACGAACTTTAATAAGATAAAATATAAAGATAATAAGAAGAAGTAAAGGTCTTTTAAAACAATCTTAACTAAGCAATCACATTCTTGGTCATCATCCATATTTGACTACGCTCATTTAGCCGGCTCTCCCTCACAATCCTTGCTCACTTTCACTTCTTTAGTTCAGCTGGCACTTGTACCAGCAGAACTTTATTGATTTGGTAGCCAACATTTTGCTGCATCAGCCTCAAGCTTTTTTTGTTTTGTTCTCAGCACCAACTTTGGATATTTTTCTGGTCATTTTGGCAACTTCCTTAGGAATATAGGCTGGCTCACTGATGGCGCATTTGACTTTGAACTTAACCAGGCCTGCCCATCTTGGTAGGGGGTCTGTTCCCCACTGCATAGGCCCAATAGAGAAATCTGATGGATTAAGTCAACAGATAAAAAGGGATAGTCTAGACTTCTATAAAAAATAAATACAAGCCCATGGGCCGCCGGCTGCGACACTCTCTTTTCCCCCAAATTCTTTCAATTTCGACCGGCCCACCCACCTAAAAATTGGTCCAGCCCATCTGGCATCTGCTAAATCCGCCCCTGACCATAAGCACACTTGGAGGATGAACCTAAGTTGTCTCCCCATGATGCATGTTGTGTGAGTGAATGTGCGAGTGCATTGTATCACGTACGTTAAGGAACGGGACGGACCAAGGTGCAGCGTGAACGGCGAACATGTTTATTAACTAATAACACACGAAACAGTAACCAAAACAACAAACTTAACCGTGACGGTCCAAAGGCTAACACACAAGCCTAAACATGTGACATAACAAAATCCCACAACGCAGGCAGGAAAACTGGTTGCCTAAGTATGATCCCCAATCAGAGACAACGAGCGACAGCTGCCTCTGATTGGGAACCACACCCGGCCAAACATAGAAATACAAACCTAGAATATATTCACACCCTGACCAAACTAGCTAGAGTTCTATAGGCCAGGGCGTGACACATTGTGTATTCTTTGTTTACGAGCTTACTTAAAACTTCATTGAATTTTAATGAGACCTGGCCTTTATTTCAGCATTTGTGCTCTGGTTTCAAATTTCAGGGTCAGAGTTAAGTATATGATGGAATTTATTGGTGTGAGTTTTCCAACTGTTTGTCAAAACCAATTATTGCTGCAAAACAGGTGACTTATGATTAAAATATACACATTAAGGCACTAATTCAGGTGTCTAATATGTGTGAGCATAAGTGCTTGTGTGTGCGTGTGGGAGTGTATTGTATCTGTGTCTACACACATGCTGTAGATGTACTATAACATGGAACAGAATCCATACTGTTAAACATGATGGAACAGTAAGATTATGAGATTTTTCTTAGTTCAAAGACGAAATACAATATTTGTAGAGCTTTTGAATGACTGTGGTGTTGCATCACAATGTGTATTTTTTTAAATAGTGGGAATGGATATCGATGGAGTCAGAGATCAACTGACTTTGTGATTGACACCCTTTTTGTACAACTTTATTGTCCCTTTAGATTTAGTCTTTCTTCTTCAGGCTTAAATATTATAATCTCTTGGTGCAGTATCATTGGTGGTTGTCAGGGAGACAGCCAGTCTAGTAGCCCAAACACTGGTGCACCTGTCAGAGTGTGTTAGTACCTGCACAGGTGTGACAGCTGTCTGCTTACCTGAGATCTACATGGCCTGAGCGGGAGAGAGCAGGCTGAACTGATGAGCTTCATAAGAGGACAACACTGAGCCAAAATGCCTCCTCGGAAGAAAAATGACATTGCAATTAAAATGGAAGAGGGTGGGTAGGATTGATCCTTTTTGTTTTCCTGAGTGTAATTATTTCTTCTTTTGGATTTCTCTTGAATACTGAAGAGTATTCCGTTTTTCACTTTCTTTGATGTGTTTGTGGTAAATATGGAATAGATGTACTAACTACTACAGATGTAGATCTGCAATAATTCTGCAGCAAAAGGAAATGTAAATTATTATGTGGATTATAATTAATGGACATTTTTGAAAGGGTTGATACATTTTTCGTTAGGGCAAATCAAGTCTGAAATTTCAAAGTGGAAATTACAAACTTTAGAAGCCTTTTTAAACCTCAAATACACTACAAGTTTGCATTTCTCAGCAACAAAAGAGTGATCAAATTAAGATCCTGTCTGTAGATGTACTATAACATGGAACAGAATCCATACTGTTAAACATGTAAGATTATGAGATTTTTCTTAGTTCAAAGACAAAGTACAATATTTGTAGAGCTTTTGAATGACTGTGGTGTTGCATCACAATGTGTATTTTTTTTAATAGTGGGAATGGATATCGACGGAGAGTTAGACAGTGGGAGTGAGGGTAAGTCATAAGAAGGAGAAAGTGTTTGATGTGTGTGTGTTTATATGTGTTTGTGCTTACCTGTTTGTTTAATTGTCCAACAGATGCAAATGTCGGATTTTGGAAAAATGTGTTATTCAGAAAATATGACGTTCTAAAGGGGAGACACACTGTACAAAAATGATGACATTTACAATTCTAAATTATGAGTTCAAGGATGCAATTACCTCAAAGGATTAATGTCCCACTTCAGACATTTTTGAACTTTTCACGTTAAAAAACGATATTCAACGTATCAATACAGTAAAGTACACACACTTAAGGGTAAAAAAATATGTTTTGAGCAAAATAGTGTTTTTTAGACATACAGTGGGGAGAACAAGTATTTGATACACTGCCGATTTTGCAGGTTTTCCTACTTACAAAGCATGTAGAGGTCTGTACTTTTTTATCATAGGTACACTTCAACTGTGAGAGACGGAATCTAAAACAAAAATCCAGAAAATCACATTGTATGATTTTTAAGTAATTAATTTGCATTATATTGCATGACATAAGTATTTGATCACCTACCAACCAGTAAGAATTCCGGCTCTCACAGACCTGTTAGTTTTTCTTTAAGAAGCCCTCCTGTTCTCCACTCATTACCTGTATTAACTGCACCTGTTTGAACTCGTTACCTGTATAAAAGACACCTGTCCACACACTCAATCAAACAGACTCCAACCTCTCCACAATGGCCAAGACCAGAGAGCTGTGTAAGGACATCAGGGATAAAATGGTAGACCTGCACAAGGCTGGGATGGGCTACAGGACAATAGGCAAGCAGGTTGGTGAGAAGGCAACAACTGTTGGCGCAATTATTAGAAAATGGAAGAAGTTCAAGATGACGGTCAATCACCCTCGGTCTGGGGCTCCATGCAAGATCTCACCTCGTGGGGCATCAATGATCATGAGGAAGGTGAGGGATCATCCCAGAACTACATGCCAGGACCTGGTCAATGACCTGAAGAGAGCTGGGACCATAGTCTCAAAGAAAACCATTAGTAACACACTACGCCGTCATGGATTAAAATCCTGCAGCGCACGCAAGGTCCCCCTGCTCAAGCCAGCGCATGTCCAGGCCCGTCTGAAGTTTGCCAATGACCATCTGGATGATCCAGAGGAGGAATGGGAGAAGGTCATGTGGTCTGATGAGACAAAAATAGAGCTTTTTGGTCTAAACTCCACTCGCCGTGTTTGGAGGAAGAAGAAGGATGAGTACAACCCCAAGAACACCATCCCAACCGTGAAGCATGGAGGTGGAAACATCATTCTTTGGGGATGCTTTTCTGCAAAGGGGACAGGACGACTGCACCGTATTGAGGGGAGGATGGATGGGACCATGTATCGCGAGATCTTGGCCAACAACCTCCTTCCCTCAGTAAGAGCATTGAAGATGGGTCGTGGCTGGGTCTTCCAGCATGACAACGACCCGAAACACACAGCCAGGGCAACTAACGAGTGGCTCCGTAAGAAGCATCTCAAGGTCCTGGAGTGGCCTAGCCAGTCTCCAGACCTGAACCCAATAGAAAATATTTGGAGGGAGCTGAAAGTCCGTATTGCCCAGCGACAGCCCCGAAACCTGAAGGATCTCGAGAAGGTCTGTATGGAGGAGTGGGCCAAAATCCCTGCTGCAGTGTGTGCAAACCTGGTCAAGAACTACAGGAAACGTATGATCTCTGTAATTGCAAACAAAGGTTTCTGTACCAAATATTAAGTTCAGCTTTTCTGATGTATCAAATACTTATGTCATGCAATAAAATGCAAATGAATTACTTAAAAATCATACAATGTGATTTTCTGGATTTTTGTTTTAGATTCCGTCTCTCACAGTTGAAGTGTACCTATGATAAAAAATTATAGACCTCTACATGCTTTGTAAGTAGGAAAACCTGCAAAATCGGCAGTGTATCAAATACTTGTTCTCCCCACTGTTTTTAGCAATTCAAGGAGTTGGTCTGATGGTGCACTCAGATGTCATTGGCCTCCCCGCTTGCTTGCGGAAAAAATAGAGGAAAAAATGAAGAAAAAGAGGAAAGGCCTAACCCTCCCTACTTGTACCATGTCAGAGGACACCTGGACCACCTATTGAGATGTGCTTTTTGTTAAGTAAATTAGGTGATAAATGATGTTCTAGGGAGGCCGGAGTGGGTCTTTTAGGATAGGCAATAACCAGTGATGTAGTGGTAAAAAAATAGGTGGGTAAACTCTAATTTCCAGTTGCGGTGAAAAAAGTAACACTCCCTATACAGATGTAGGATCTTAATTTGATCACCCTGTTGCAGGAGAACTTTCCTGCAATGCAGGAGATTTTAAACGTGTAGGGTATTTGAGGTTTAAAAAGGCTTCTGAAGTTTGTAATTTCCACTTAGAAATGTCTGTCTTGATGTTTCCTACAAAAATGTCCATTCATTAAAATCCACATAATAATTCACATTTCCTGTTGCTGCAGGATTATTTCCATGCTGTAGCAAACTGGCTCAAATTAAGATCCTACATCTGTACTATCAATGTATTTTTCCACAAAAGGTGGGTAAACTGTTGAGCAAATCAAATCAAAATCAAATCAAATTGTATTTGTCACATGCACCGAATACAACAGATGTAGACCTTATCGTCAAATGCTTACTTACAAGCCCTTAACCAACAATGCAGAATTTTAAAAAAGTAAGTAAGAAAATATTTGCAAAGAAATAGGCTATATACAGGGGGTACCGTTACCGATGTGTGGGGGTACAGGTTAGTCGAGGTAAATGAGGTAATATGTACATGTAGGTAGGGGTAAAGTGGCTATGCATAGATAATAAACAGTGAGTAGCAGCAGCGTAAAAAAGGGGGTCAATGCAAATAGTCTGGGTAGCCATTTCATTAACTGTTTAGCAGTCTTATGGCTTGGGGGTACAAGCTGTTAAGGAGCCTTTTGGATCTAGACTAGGGGCTCTGGTACCGCTTGCCGTGCGGTAGCAGAGAGAACAGTCTATGACTAGGGTGGCTGGAGTCTTTGACAATCTTTAGGGCCTTCCTCTGACACCGCCTGTTATAGAGGTCCTGGATGGCAGAAGGCTTGGCCCCAGTGATATATTGGGCCGTACACACTACCGTCTGTAGCGCCTTGTGGTCGGATGCCGAGCAGTTGCCATACCAAGCGGTGATGCAACCAGTCAGGATGCTCTCGATGGTGTAGCTGTAGAACTCTTTGAGGATCTGAGGAACCATGCCAAATCTTTTCAGTCTCCTGAAGGGGAATAGGCGTTGTCGTGCCCTCTTCACGACTGTCTTGCGTTAACCCTCCATTACACCACTGGCAATAACCATAGGGAGGCTGGCAACCTGCCTGACTTATATGTTTGTTTAATTGTTCAGGTTTAAATGTAATTTATGGATATATGGAGCCTTTGTCTGTCTGTTAACATTTCTATGAAATATATAAGTGATAATGTGTGTGTATCGTGTGTGTGTGATGTGTGTGTGTTTGTGTGTGTGTGTGTGTGTGTGTGTGTGTGATGTGTGTGTGTGTGTGTGTGTGTGTGTGTGTACATGTGTGTCTGTGTGTCTCAGATGAGACCAGGTGGAGAGACAGAAACAGGAAAGTCAAACTCTCTCCACGAGCCAGGGGACGGAATGGCAAACAGGCCACCAGCGAGGAGGAAGAGGAAGAGGAGGAGGAGGCCAAGGCACAGAGGAAGAGGGCTCATAAGAAGAAGGCCAAGGTCCAGGACAGCGAGGAAGAGGAGGAGGAGGAAGAGAAGGAGAGCGTCAAGCGGAAGGGCCCAAAGACAGCAGGCAGAAAGAAAAAGGCAGTCAAGCAGGAGAGTGAGGAGGAAGAACGAGGGAAGAAAAAGAAAGGTGGAAAAGGGACTAGCAAGAACCAGAAAGAAGGGCAGAACAAGGAGAAGAAGGGCGATGCCAAAGGGAACGAGAAAGACAAGAAAAAGAAGAACTCAAGGTACAGCAGGTGCAGTATCCTTTGAGAGGGCCATCTCTCTCACATATCTCCACGCTCCACACACCCTCATGTATGAAGGAGGAGTCTGACAGACTCTGTTGGGATATGCCCCTTCATTGTATTGATTAATTAGTTCAGGGAGTTGAGTCATGAAATTGGGTCATAGGGTTGCGCACAAGTATTCATTCCAGGGTTTTTCTTTATTTTTTACAATTTTCTACATTGTAGAATAATAGTGAAGACATCAGAACTATGAAATAACACATATGGAATCATATAGTAAACAAAAAAGTGTTAAACAAATCAAAATATATTTTATATTCTTCAAAGTAGCCATCCTTTGCCTTGATGACAGCTTTGCACAGTCTTGCGCTCTCTCAACCAACTTCACCTGGAATGCTTTTTTGTTGCTGTTTTAAAGCTAATTCCCTGCAATTTTAAACATGTTGCCATGGGGCAGAGAGAAAAAAGTGCAGTTTTATTGCTATCATGCTATTCTATACTTTTTGCAATGAGGCTGAGAGAAAATGTTGCTGTTTTAAAGTTAATTCCCTGCAATTCTAAACATTTTGCCATGGGGCAGAGAGAAGAAAGTGCAGTTTTATTGCTGATCTCATGCTATTCTATACTGTTTGCAATGAGACTGAGAGAACATGTTGCTGTTTTAAAGCTAATTCCCTGCAATTCTAAACATTTTGCCATGGGGCAGAGAGAAAAAAGTGCAGTTTTATTGCTAGTCTCATGCTATTCTATACTTTTTGCAATGAGGCTGAGAGGAAATGTTGCCATTTGAAAGCTAATTTCCTGTATTTCTAAACAATTTACCATAGCTTATGACGTGCTCATAGGCTATCTTGGGGCACGTCATAAACCACTTATAAACCTTCTACAAACTTTTACAATCCCTTTTTAAACTCTAAACACATTTTTATTTCAAAACATAAACCCACATTTTACATGATTCTGGATATTAGGCTATTGGACTATTGAGATATTAAAACCTGATACTTTCAGAAATATGTCTCATCCCAGCAAACAGTGAACGATCCTATAATGCTAGGTAACGTTCCAATTGAGTCCCAGTTAAGGCCAATTGGTTTCCAGCTAACGTTAGCATGACAACAGCCCTGACATTTTTTTTTAAACCCGGAAAACATTATTTGATAAACATTAGTAGAAGGACATGCTGTAATGCTTATAAGAACGTTTGGGGAAATGATCCAATGATGTTTGTTTTCAACGTTTCTAGAATGTGTTAACTAAATGTTCATGAAGAAAACGTATGGTCATGTGATGGGATATCCCTGGGGTCATCCCTGGGAACCTCTGTCAAAGGTGTCCAACCATTTTAACATTCTCAAAATGTCCCCACTAAAGTTTTGGTAATGTATAGGTAACCAGTATTTTTCACCAGAATAGAGTTGGGTTGTAGTGGTATTTGTGCTGGTTCAAGCATGGGGTAGTGTTGGTTCATAACATTGAGTTGAGGGATTACATGGTCGGAATGGGGTTTGATCGTGTCTGGTTGGGTCGATGGGTGGACAAGGTTACTGGACTATTCTAGGATATGTTATTTGACTTGCATATGTCTCCTCTTGTCCCCTCATTTCTCTCTCTGTTCTCTTTTTGTATTTCTGTTGGTTTGCCAGACGCTTTTCAACGTAATGTGACTAGTCCAAAGTTTGTACCATGATAATGGGGCACTGTGTAAAGCCTCTGGCCACACTGCCCACTCTTAACAAAGACAGTCTGACCGGAACTACAACTCTACTCTGGTTGACACATGGTTGACCCTGACCTGACCCCTGGCACTTGGTGACAGCTCTTTCTTCTGATAGCTCTTCTTCTTCAGGCGAGTCAGGGGATGAGGATTCTCTGTCAGAGGGGGAGATGGCTGCTCTGAAGGAAGAGGTGGAGGAGAAGAAGAAGCTGATAGCCACTCTAAGGAACAAACCGTGGCGCATGAAGAGGAGGCTTAAACTCCTCAAGTAAACAAAATGGCCACCACCATGTGCATTCCTCCGCCAATTTCCCATTGACAGATTGCCTTCACATAGGGACTTGATCTTGCTGTGCTGTTTTCTCTTTTTTTCTATAACTACAGTACTTTACACATTCCTTAAGGCTTATACAATCACTCATGTATCACATGTGATGTCATCTTATTTAAAAAGAAAAATTGAATTAAAGTATAATTGTGTCTTTGCTGCTACATTGCCTGATCAAATTTCTTTTTTTGTTGTTGTGTGAAATCCTTTAAACTACTTTGTGGAACGACAAAGTCGATAGATTGTCCATCACCTTTTGAACTAGTTACGAGTTTTGTGCATTGGCTTTGCTGATTGATGTTCTTTGACCAGCTTCTCACTTGTATCTCCACAAAAAGAGTGCGTCTCCACTGACCAGTATTCACCTGTCATTCACTCTTAAAAGGTTCTACCCAGAACCATTATTGGTTCTTCAGTTTTTCACTGTAAAATATCCTTTTTATGGTTCCAGGTAGAACCTTTTAACCATTTAGAACTTTTTTTTTTTGTAACAGTGTTGGATTACATAAAAAAAAAAACAGTTCAGGCTTTAGTAAAGCCTACTGGTCTTCTGCCCTCTGGGATCTGTGTTGTAGAAACACTGTTTTCCAGCCACAGTTGTGAGCTGGCAGTGGTGAGCACACGTATAGGTCATGGCGCAAGCACTGTTACAGCATTAAGATAGATGAGACGCCTTTACTTTTTCATGAGCTCAACACTGTTTAATACTTGCAGTTTTGGCTGCCTGTGGCTTGCCAATTCCCTCTCATCACTGGTCTTTCCAGGTTGATAATCCATAAACACATGGCCTCCTCCACATTTCCCTGTCTAGTCATTTACTGTCTTGATTCATCGATTGGTTGTTTTTTCATCTACTTAATTTAATCCTGAATAATCTGCCTGTTATAAACTCAAAAAGTTGATTTATTGTGATTGATACACTTTTTGTTGGTTGATGGGTCATCCTTTTTTGTGGGTTTGAATTGTAGGGAATGCCAGGTGTTTGTGGAGAAGTTTGAGGGGGCTCTGGGAAAGGGCAAAGGGAGGAAGCTCTACGCCTACAAAGTCATGATGGCTAAGGTAACTTTTCCTAGTCCAAATGTTAACTTTACAACTGAGTCCACAATCTCGAAGATTAGTTATGTCCTACTGAATCATCATGAATAATTCACACAAATTATGCATTTATAACTTCTACTTTAAGACTTAAGTTATATGGCACGTAAAATACAAATTTAACCCTCTAGAGTCTAAGCCGGGGGACGCGATGGGGGACGGGGGTTCTAAGCTAACATATGGAATTGTTTTAAGATGGTCATACCAAGGATCATTTAGCTATTTGATTTGGAATTTTAAGACCCCTTAAGTTATAAAATAAAATACCTCCCGAGTGGCGCAGTGGTCTAAGGCTGTGCCACTAGAGATCCTGGTAAGAATCCAGGCTCTGTCGTAGCCGGCCGTGACCGGGAGACCCATGGGGCGGCGCACAATTGGCCTAGCGTCGTCCAGGGTAGGGGAGGGAATGGCCGGCAGGGATGTAGCTCAGTTGGTAGAGCATGGCGTTTGCAACGCCAGGGTTGGGGATTTGATTCCCATGGTGGCCAGTATGAAGAAAATATAATAATGTATGCACTCACTAACTGTAAGTCGCTCTGGGTAAGAGCGTCTGCTAAATGACTAAAAAAACAAACAAAAAACGTTGAATTTGTCATGAGCCTCTCACTCCACCGGGTTACCACCTTAATTTTCTTCCACTCTGCTCACCACTCTCTCTACTCAGCCTAACTAGCTCCACCTGTCCCTGCTCTGCTCTGCTCTAATTACTCTGCCAGCTGCGCTGCATTACCCACTACCTCTCCCAGTATTTAAGGCCCTGTCTTTCAGCTCTCCGGTGTCAGATCGTCTGCAAAGCTCACACCCGGAACCTGTTTGCTCGCGCTTCTGGCTCACCCTGGTTTTGTGACCCCGGACCTGCCTGATTTTTGGATACTCTTCTGCCCCAGGAGATCCAGACCTGCTTCTGCCATAACGACTCCTGACTACTCTTCAATCCCGGTAACTCTGACCAGCCTTCTGCCTTGCTACTACGTATTTTGGATTTCCCTTGAACTGTACTGCTGCCTTGTTTCATTCCGCCCTGTTGTGTCTGTGTCTCCCCCCCCCAGGACTTCTGGACCACCCACCACCGGCTTCATAGGACGCATCGCTGCCACTGGGGGGGGCACAGACCCAGCACATTGGACGGGATCCCTGTTACCCCTGGAGCCTTCATTCACACCCTACTTCCCTTTTCCCTTAAGTTTTAATAAACTTTCTGGTGTGACGCAATTGTGGTCCTCTGGTCGTCTGTCTGAACCGTGACAGTACGATCTGACCATTATGGACTCAGCGCACACTTTCCCCGACATGGAAACCGATGAGCATGAGCAGCAGTTCCAGCAGCAGCAACAACAACTCGCCATGATCATTCAACTCCTCACCAACCTTACCCCAGCCAGTCTGCCCACCAGCCCTGCCCCCGAGTTACCTGCCCCGGTCATTGCAGCCGCTGCTCCGGAACCCAAGATTGGAAACCCCGAGCGGTTCAACGGCGATTCAACCCAGGTCCGGCCATTCCTGACTAGCTGCCGACTTCAGTTCTCCTTGCAGCCAAGGACCTTCGCCACGGAGGGGGCTAAAGTTGGGTATGCCATCACTCACCTGACGGGCCGAGCTCGACTCTGGGGAACAGCAGAGTTCGAACGTCAAACCCCCGCATGTGCAACCTTCGACCTGTTTGTTGAGGAGATGCTGAAGGTGTTTGACCTGGATTCACCAACCGCAGAGGCGTCTCGTGAACTGTTCAGTATTCGACAAGGCAGACGTACAGTCGCAGACCATTCCATCGACTTCCGAACCCTGGCTAGACGAAGTTCTTGGAACACACCATCGTTGGTGGACGCGTTCTTCCATAGTTTGGCTGACTATATCAAGGACGAGTTGGTCTCCCATGAACTGCCTTCCACTCTTGATGAAGCCATCGCACTGACTGTCAGGATCGACAGAAGGATACAGACCCGTCGTCGTGAGAGGGGGCGCCAAGGTCCACCTACTACCGGCATTCGGAGAGATCCGACTGGGCTCCTGTCATCTACTGCCACTCACCCAGGTCAGCTTGATCAGTCTGAGCCTATGGAGATTGGGCGAGCCTCTCTCACTCCTGCAGAGCGCCAGCGCCGCTTCACCTCAAACCTCTGCCTCTATTGTGGAGGTGATGGACATCGTGTGGTAACCTGCCCTTTAAAGGGCCGAAGCTCACCGGGCATAGGGGGAGTCCGGTTGAGTTCAATGACCATCCAGTCCTCCGACCGCAAACCCCTGCTGCAAGTTCACCTCCGCCTCTCTGACTCAACTCACACCCTGGCTGCTCTGGTGGATTCTGGCGCCGAAGCCAACATAATGGACATCAAGCTGGCACGCCAACTGGGACTGGAGAACCTCCGTTTGACACCTCCTATTCCTGCCCGGGCACTGGACGGACACTTACTCGGATCGGTCACTCATGTCACGGCCCCGGTCTCGATGGGTCTGTCCGGAAACCATCAAGAAACTATCCAGTTTCACCTGCTCCCCTCTCCAGGCCAACCCCTCATCCTGGGTTACCCATGGCTCCGCCGGCACAACCCTCAGCTCGACTGGGTGACCGGGGTGATCAGGGAGTGGGGAGAGGACTGCCACCGAACCTGCCTGCTTGCTGCCGCACTACCCCCTCGGCCAGTACCTACTAACTCCGCTCCTGACCTCTCCAATGTCCCAGAATGCTACCATGGTCTCAGAGAGGTGTTTAACAAAGCAAGAGCCACATCTCTGCCCCCTCACCGACCGTACGACTGTGCCATCGACCTCCTCCCTGGAACAGCCCCTCCAAAGGGTCGTCTTTATTCGTTGTCTGCTCCTGAAAGAAAGTCCATGGAGGACTACATCAATGGCTCTCTGTCCGCAGGATTAATCCGTTCATCTTCATCTCCTGCTGGTGCTGGCTTCTTCTTTGTGGGGAAGAAGGACGGATCTCTTCGCCCCTGCATCGACTACAGGGGACTCAACGACATCACAGTGAAAAACCGTTACCCTCTGCCTCTGCTCACCTCTGCTTTTGAGTTGCTCCAGGGAGCCACTGTTTTTACCAAGTTGGATCTCAGAAACGCTTACCACCTAGTGCGGATCCGGGAGGGAGATGAATGGAAAACCGCATTCAATACACCAACAGGCCACTACGAGTATCTGGTTATGCCTTTTGGCCTCACCAATGCTCCTGCTGTGTTCCAGGCTCTTGTGAATGATGTACTGCGGGACATGTTAAACAAGTTTGTCTTCGTTTACCTGGATGACATCTTAATCTACTCCAGAAACCTGTCTGAACACACCCGCCATGTCCAGCAAGTCCTTCATCGTCTTCTGGAGAATTCCCTCTACGCCAAGGCAGAGAAATGTGAGTTTCACGTCAAGACAGTGGCCTTCCTGGGGTACATAGTGGCAGAGGGAAGTATCCAAATGGATCCTGCCAAAGTATCAGCAGTCACTTCATGGCCAGTTCCGGAGAACAGAAAGAAGCTGCAACAGTTTCTGGGGTTTGCTAACTTCTATAGAAAGTTTATCCGGAACTACAGTACCGTTGCTGCCCCTCTCACTGCTCTAACCAGCACCAAGCAACCCTTCACCTGGACCCCAGCAGCCGACAAAGCCTTCAGTACCCTCAAGGTGAGGTTCACCTCCGCTCCCATCCTCCAGATGCCTGATGTGGACCGGCAATTCATTGTGGAGGTGGACGCCTCGGATGTGGGAGTTGGTGCTGTGATTTCTCAGTGGGCTGCGGAGGATAGGAAGCTCCATCCCTGTGCCTTTTTCTCACGTCGGTTGTCCCCCTCTGAGTGCAATTACGACATAGGGAACCGTGAGCTGCTGGCTGTGAAGCTTGCCTTGGAGGAGTGGCGTCACTGGCTGGAGGGGTCCACCGTTCCATTTCTCGTTTGGACCGATCATAAGAACTTGGAGTACATCCGCACGGCCAAACGGTTGAACTCCAGGCAGTCCCGCTGGGCCCTGTTCTTCACCAGGTTTAATTTCACTCTGTCATACCGGCCTGGATCACGCAACACCAAGCCAGACGCCCTCTCCCGTCAATTCCAGAAGGATGACACCCCCTCCAAGGACCCTGTGTCGATTCTGCCAAGTCCCTGCATCGTTGCAGCTCTGACCTGGGCTGTTGAGGAACAGGTGCTGGAGGCTCTCCGTAACCAGCCAGGTCCCAGCACTTGCCCAGCTGACCGCCTTTTTGTCCCCGAAGACCTGAGGTCCCAGGTCGTTCAGTGGGGACATGACTCCCGCCTAGCTTGTCACCCTGGCTCCACCCGCACTTACAACCTGCTCGCCCAGAGGTTCTGGTGGCCCTCTCTGAGAAAGGATGTACGGGAATTCGTCCAAGCCTGCCCCATCTGCAACCAACACAAGTCGTCCTGCCAGCCCCCAGCCGGATTGCTGCAGCCCCTGCCTGTGCCCAGACGTCCCTGGTCTCACATCGCCCTTGACTTTGTCACGGGGCTGCCCCCTTCAAGTGGCATGACCGTCATTCTCACCATAGTTGACCGTTTCAGCAAGATGGCACACTTCATTCCCCTCCCCAAGCTCCCAACCGCCAAGGAGACCGCCCAGGTGGTCCTGGAACACGTCTTCCGGATCCACGGACTGCCAAGGGATGTAGTTTCTGACCGTGGTCCACAATTCTCCTCCGCTTTTTGGAAGGAGTTCTGTCACCTGCTGGGAGCCACAGTCAGTCTGACTTCCGGATTCCATCCCCAATCCAATGGGCAGTCAGAGCGGGCTAATCAGGAGCTCGAGAAGGCACTGCGATGCATGACTTCACGCAACCCCCACTCCTGGTCGCAGCAATTGACATGGGTGGAGTACGCACACAATTCTCTGACCTGCTCTGCCATCGGTATGTCCCCTTTCCAATGTGTTTATGGATACCAGCCTCCTCTATTTGCCAGCCAGGAAGAGGAGGTTACTTGCCCATCTGCACTTGCTTTTGCCCGTCGATGTCGCCGCACCTGGTCACAAGCCCGAGCCACACTCCTCAGATCCATTGCCAGCTACACTACCGGGGCCAACCGTCGGAGAATTCCTGCTCCCACCTACCATGTTGGTCAAAGGGTGTGGTTGTCATCGAAGAACCTGCCACTCAGGGTGGAGTCGCAGAAGCTGGCACCTCGGTTCATTGGCCCATTCCCTATCATAAGAGTGATTAGCCCAACTGCTGTCCGGCTCCAACTGCCTAATTCCCTGAGGGTGCACCCCACTTTCCATGTGTCTAAGATTAAGCCCATCCATGAGAGTCCGCTGGTCCCTGCTGCGCCTTGTCCTCCTCCTCCACGGCTCGTCGATGGTGGTCTGGTTTACACCGTCCGCCGCCTGCTTCGGTCCAGACGGAGGGGTAGGGGTCTCCAGTACCTCATTGACTGGGAGGGCTATGGACCTGAGGAAAGGACCTGGGTGCCAGCTAGTCGGATTGTGGATAGGACTCTCATCACCGCTTTCCACCAACGGCATCCTGATCAACCTGCAATCCGTAGGGGCCGCCCCAGAGGGGTCCCTAACCGTCCTGCCCGCTCGGCTTCCTGTCCTGTGCCTGATCCTGTCTCGGGACCTGTCCCATCTCCCGACCACGGCCCTCCGGCTTCCTCCGAGGATGAGGACGTTCACTCGGACCGTTCGGAGGAGTTCTAGCCCTCCTCCGGCTCCCCTCCTCCCGCCCGGCGTGGTGTTGCTCTTGGGACTTCTGGGGCCGTCCCTTGGGGGGGGGGTTCTGTCATGAGCCTCTCACTCCACCGGGTTACCACCTTAATTTTCTTCCACTCTGCTCACCACTCTCTCTACTCAGCCTAACTAGCTCCACCTGTCCCTGCTCTGCTCTGCTCTAATTACTCTGCCAGCTGCGCTGCATTACCCACTACCTCTCCCAGTATTTAAGGCCCTGTCTTTCAGCTCTCCGGTGTCAGATCGTCTGCAAAGCTCACACCCGGAACCTGTTTGCTCGCGCTTCTGGCTCACCCTGGTTTTGTGACCCCGGACCTGCCTGATTTTTGGATACTCTTCTGCCCCAGGAGATCCAGACCTGCTTCTGCCATAACGACTCCTGACTACTCTTCAATCCCGGTAACTCTGACCAGCCTTCTGCCTTGCTACTACGTATTTTGGATTTCCCTTGAACTGTACTGCTGCCTTGTTTCATTCCGCCCTGTTGTGTCTGTGTCTCCCCCCCCCAGGACTTCTGGACCACCCACCACCGGCTTCATAGGACGCATCGCTGCCACTGGGGGGGGCACAGACCCAGCACATTGGACGGGATCCCTGTTACCCCTGGAGCCTTCATTCACACCCTACTTCCCTTTTCCCTTAAGTTTTAATAAACTTTCTGGTGTGACGCAATTGTGGTCCTCTGGTCGTCTGTCTGAACCGTGACAGAATTGGCATTACTGCTATTAGCCAATATAAACGCATTGAATGACAGATTCACTACATGGAACAACAGATAGTCCCCCAAAAAATCTAAAGGAAGTTTGTTCTGAAGTGTCTGTCCTATATCTGAGAGATATATATATTTTTTTACATGTATTTATCCCCTTATTTCAGGCACTAAATTACAGTATCTACATCTTCCATTCTTTTTTCTGTTACGATTTTGTCTCATCACTGCATCTCCCCAACGGGCTTGGAAGAGGCGAAGGTCAAGTCATGCATCCTCCGAAACATGACCCGCCCACTTAACCTGGAAGCCAGCTACACCAATGTGTCAGAGGAAACACTGTTCAACTGATGTGAGCCTGCAGGTGCCCGGCCCACCACAAGGAGTCGCTAGAGCGCGATGAGCTGATATCTCTAGCTTAAACAGACAGATTTTGATGGGGATTTTTTTGTTATGTTCATTAGATTTCCGCGGGAGCACATAAATTGTAGGCTAAGGGTTGAATCATAAGGGCACCATAATCTTCATGATTTGTCATAACCATAATGACATTAGCAGGATGTTTGTTGCCCTCATCAGTCACAATCTGGTATGACAATCAGGAACTATACAGTCCTTCTGTGATAAACTTATATTTTCAAATATTCTCTCTTAACCTTTTTTGTTTCAGAAAATGATCAAGTTCAACCGTGACTTTGACAATTTCAAAACAGCCTGCATTCCATGGGAAAGAAAGATTAAAGAGGTTGAGAGTGGGTACCATTATCTAAAGCTATGAGTTACTGTCTCGTTCATGTCATGTAGTTCTATCTATTCATCATGTTTGAACTCTAACCCTCAGGTCACTTTGGGTCATCTGTGGCTTCCTACTTCATCTTCTTGCGGTGGATGTACGGTCTAAACCTGGTCCTGTTTGGGTTAATGTTTGGTCTTGTTGTTCTCCCAGAGGTGAGCAGATTTTTACCTTCAGCACATAGTCCATTGTTTTGCAAACTGTTTGCAGTACATTTGGTCAGCACATGGAGAGATATCAAAGGAGGGACTCACTGTCTAATATTTACCCACTTATCCCCACTTCCCTTTCATTTTTCCTTTCTTTCTGTCCGGAGGTGATGATGGGTCTTCCGTATGGGTCTATACCCAGGAAAACTGTTCCCAGAGCGCAGCAGGCCAAAGCCATGGACTACTCCGTCCTCCTTGATTTTGAAGTGAGGATCTTTGGAGTGACACATTACACAACTGCCTTGTGATGCCATATTTAGACACCTTGTTTAGTTTACTTAAGGTTCAGGTTTATTTCATATGATTGTACATATGAAAAGAACATACATAAAATGTGATGTCATACAGTACTAACTTGTCAATTTTCATTTTTTTTACTAGTCTGTATAAAAAACAAAACAAAACAAATATATATATACAGTGGGGAGAACAAGTATTTGATACACTGCCGATTTTGCAGGTTTTCCTACTTACAAAGCATGTAGAGGTCTGTAATTTTTATCATAGGTACACTTCCACTGTGAGAGACGGAATCTAAGAAAATCCAGAAAATCACATTGTATGATTTTTAAGTAATTAATTTGCATTTTATTGCATGACATAAGTATTTGATCACCTACTAGAATTCCGGCTCTCACAGACCTGTTAGTTTTTCTTTAAGAAGCCCTCCTGTTCTCCACTCATTACCTGTATTAACTGCACCTGTTTGAACTCGTTACCTGTATAAAATACTATTAGTAACACACCATGCCGTCATGGATAAAAATCCTGCAGCGCACGCAAGGTCCCCCTGCTCAAGCCAGCGCATGTCCAGGCCCGTCTGAAGTTTGCCAATGACCATCTGGATGATCCAGAGGAGGAATGGGAGAAGGTCATGTGGTTTGATGAGACAAAAATAGAGCTTTTTGGTCTAAACTCCACTCACCATGTTTGGAGGAAAAAGAAGGATGATTACAACCCCAAGAACACCATCCCAACCGTGAAGCATGGAGGTGGAAACATCATTCTTTGGGGATGCTTTTCTGCAAAGGGGACAGGACGACTGCACCGTGTAGAGGGGAGGATGGATGGGGCCATGTATTGCGAGATCTTGGCCAACAACCTCCTTCCCTCAGTAAGAGCATTGAAGATGGGTCATGGCTGGGTCTTCCAGCATGACAACGACCCGAAACACACAGCCAGGGCAACTAAGGAGTGGCTCCATAAGAAGCATCTCAAGGTCCTGGAGTGGCCTAGCCAGTCTCCAGACCTGAACCCAATAGAAAATCTTTGGAGGGAGCTGAAAGTCCGTATTGCCCAGCGACAGCCCCGAAACCTGAAGGATCTGGAGAAGGTCTGTATGGAGGAGTGGGCCAAAATCCCTGCTGCAGTGTGTGCAAACCTGGTCAAGACCTACAGGAAACGTATGATCTCTGTAATTGCAAACAAAGGTTTTCTGTACCAAATATTAAGTTCAGCTTTTCTGATGTATCAAATACTTATGTCATGCAATAAAATGCAAATTAATTACTTTAAAATCATACAATGTGATTTTCTGGATTTTTGTTTTAGATTCCGTCTCTCACAGTTGAAGTGTACCTATGATAATAATTACAGACCTCTACATGCTTTGTAAGTAGGAAAACCTGCAAAATCGGCAGTGTATCAAAAATGTGTTCTCCCAACTGTATATAACCATTTTATAAATGGTATAATTGTGTGATATGATAGCATTCTGCAAACCCAATCCCCCCCCCCCCCCCCCCCCCCCCAAAGCTGATGAATGGTTTCACTACATGCTCCACTGCTTTGATTGGTGTAACGTTAGTTAGAAACCACAATTCAAGGAACTTGTAGTTTGCAGCGCGCATGATCATCAGCAAAGACATTGTAGCCTATCATTTCAATGAATATTTAAATTTGTGAATATGTATAAGTAGCCTTCATCATTCCTCGGACAGGAAATGGTGTCGAAATAGGGGCGGCAACTTCTTCAGGGGGGGTCCTTTAAAGTGTTACACATTTTCAGTACATCAATTGTACTTGTCACTGTCAGCTTTATTTGGGATGGATGACTTGCATATAAACATTATTATTTTTGTTAATTTCAACAGGGCTACTGCAAGTACTCTATTATGTTCTATGGCTACTATAATGACGAACGCACCATCGGACTCCTCCAGTTCAGACTGCCACTGTCCTACCTACTGGTCGGTGTTAGCATCTTCGGCTACAGCCTGATGGTAGTCATTAGAACGTGGGTAAAACACACATGTGCACACAGTAAATACATACTAATCCACATACACACAAACAGTATCTGAAATATTGATGCCAGCAACCCTCCTGTTGCCATCTCACTCCCTCTAACATCCCCTCTCAGTATGGCCCGTAACTCGGATGAGGGAGGAGACGGTGGGGACGATGGACAGTTTACCTTCACCTTTAAAATGTTCACCAGCTGGGATTACCTCATCGGGAACCCAGAGACAGCTGACAACAAGTATGCCTCCATCACCACCAGCTTTAAGGTAAACGCAGAAGCAGCTAACACTTAGGCCTATCCATAGCTAGTAGACCGACCTTCTACTATCTTGGCACAAGATCCTGTTGTTTATGACATAACTTTGTTCTACAGATATCCCTTGCTCTTATCTTAAAGAATCTTAAATCTCCCAAGAATCCATGTACTACATGTATGGGCCTATACACTTACTATCTTCAACCATAGTATCCTCTGTGTTTCTCACTAATCGACTGTTCTCGGTAGGAATCCATAGTAGACGAACAGGAGAATCAGAAGGATGAGAACATCCACTTGCGGAGGTTCCTGCGGGTTCTAGCCAACCTTTTCATTCTCTGCAGCCTGGGGGGCAGCGGCTTCCTCATCTATTTTGTGGTCAAGAGGTCTCAGGACTTTGCAAAACTAGATCAGAATACGCTCTCCTGGTATGAAAAGAATGAGGCAGGTTGACTTGTTATGATCAGATACATGCTGTGTTATGGTTAATCTAGTCAAAAGGAGTGAGCCAGAAATGTACATTTGGTGTTTGTCCGGTTTTCTTCAGTTATAGGTTGTTATGCTATTATCTGGGTTGTCATGATAGTCATCATTATAACATTTATAACAATATATATCATACCACACTTTGGTTACACTTAATAACTTTCATGAATAAGCCACTAAAAATGATTACATGTTTATAATGGATATGATACATGTAATACATTTTTATGAATGTAATGCTTATAATGCTTATATATTAATTTATTGCCTATAATGATTATAAATGCTAATAAATCTTTACAAATAATGATATTCTCATTTAATAATAGTACATTAATTATTTAATGCTTATTCATTAAAGTGTTTTTCCAGTCTTCATCCTGGTGATTGGTTGTGTTTTACTTTCCAGGTGGAGATTGTGATGTCACTGCTGGGGCTGGTGTGCCCCCCTCTCTTTGAGACTATCGCTGAGCTGGAGGAGTACCACCCTCGTATCGCCCTCAAGTGGCAGCTGGGCCGCATCTTTGCCCTGTTCCTCGGGAACCTCTACACCTTCCTGTTTGCCCTGTTTGACGATGTCAACGAAAAGGTACCAGACAATGTGTCAGTGTCATGTACCTGCAAATGCATGTTTGTGTGTTTATTCACCTGTGTGTGTGTTCAGTACATATTGTATGAATGTATATTTTACTTACTCACCTGAACCTGTCTTTGTGTGTTAACATGTGTACAGTTGGAACAGGAGAAGTATATTAAGAATGCCACTATCTGGGGTCTGAATGAGTACTATGCCAACTACAGCTCCTACCACAACACTACTGACATCCCCCCTCCAGACATCCCTCCTGCTGATGTCATCAGAGGGCCGTGTTGGGAGACCGACGTTGGCATAGTGAGGATTACCCACTTTTTTCCTTCGTTTTCCCTTTATTACTAAACATAGCAGTGGCAGACGTCACCGTTTTTTGTTATTTTGTTTTTCCTCCTGGGTTTTCCTCCACCTGACCTGAGCACCCCATAGTGTTCCCGCCATTGTGTACCAGCGATGAGACTGAGGCTGTGTGACATGCTGGGTGTTTCATGTTTAGTTTTCTTTCTGTGCTGTATCTCTAGGAGTTTGTGAAGCTCACCGTCTCTGACATCCAGGTGACATATCTGACCATCCTCATTGGTGACTTCGTGCGAGCCGTGATCGTGCGTTTCCTCAACTACTGCTGGTGCTGGGACCTGGAGGCTGGATTTGTACGTGCTAGGCTATCAAAGCAGAACAGAACTACTGTTCTACTGTGTGTGTTCCCATTTTATTGTAAGACTTTTTGGTAGCACTTTACATTACAGTATGGGATAAAGTGGTAATAACATGTATGGTAGTATGGTAACAAGGTATAGTTGCTCACTATCAATACATTCCAGCACTACCATATTGTTCTTTAATTTGTTTTTCTTTGCTTATTGTATGTGTGAGTACATTCTGTGTTTGTTCCAAGTAAACTTGATACCACACAGCGACGTCTGGCAAGATAGGTGATCCTTCACATTCACAATGACACAGGACACTGACCTGGGAAGTGAATTACTGTGAGAGAGAAAGAGGGAGAGAGAAAAGGGGGACAATGACGACGCGTGAACAGAATTACGTTTACATTATTTATATCATGCATTGCACTATTTAAAAAAAAAAATATGTGATTCTAGCCGTCTTATGGAGAGTTTGACATCAGCGGCAACGTGCTTGGATTAATCTTCAATCAAGGAATGATTTGGTGAGTAAATATGAGACACCACATAAACCATCAACACATTTCCACACACCCTGTAAGTTGTGTTTATCACATATTTCTGTATCTGTGTTTGTTTCAGGATGGGTGCATTCTACGCCCCTGGCCTGATAGGGCTGAACGTCCTGCGTCTCCTCTCCTCCATGTACTACCAGTGCTGGGCCGTGATGTGCTGTAACGTTCCCCATGAGAGGGTCTTCAAGGCCTCCAAATCCAACAACTTCTACATGGGCCTCCTGCTTCTGGTGCTCTTCCTCAGCCTTCTGCCCGTGGTTTTTACCATAATGACCCTGCCGCCCTCCTCCGACTGTGGCCCCTTCAGGTGTCTCTCATGCACACACATACGCACGCACACACACAAACTAGGCACACATCTAATGCTGGTCTCTTGTCTGCTAGCGGAAGGGCGCAAATGTATGATGTTGTCATGGAGACTATAGAGAAGGACCTACCAGCGTTCATTGGTAATATCTTCACCTACGCAACTAATCCTGGTCTGATTATACCAGCAGTGCTGCTGATGGTGTATGTACACACACACGCGCGCGCACACACACACACACGCACACACACACTAAAGCAACACACATATGGTCATAGTAACATACACATGCTCATCATAACAAGAGCTCTGTGATCCTATGTCAGGTTGGCCATCTACTATCTGAATGCGACCTCCAAAAACTATCAAAATGCCAACCTGGACCTGAAGAGGAAGATGCAAATGGTAAATGAGCATGAGCAACTGAACTGCCGTCTCAGGACTTTCATCCTATACTGTAAATTATGACATGTTATTCAGTACTGTAAGTTAAATGCATGTATAGAATACTGATGTGGTGTGTGAATATGAATGCAGCAACACCAACAGTATCATCTGCGGTTGTGTTTAGGCTAGAGATGAGGAGAAGAACCGGAGGAACAACAAGGAGAGTACCAACCAGGTGATGCATGACCTGGAGGACCTTCTTCCCAACCGCTCTCTAATCCACCCTCCTGCGGAAGAAGCGCCCAAACAAGGTAATTTCACAAAGCCTACTCTACTGTTGTGTCGAGTTAAATGTCGCTAGTTATTGCTGTAACAAAGGAGTCCGCTCATACTGAACTTTGATCATAAGGTTTATTCATATCACAAGATTTCAGCATAAGTTTACGGATGTCATGACCACCCGGAGAGCAGTCGTTCCCAAATTGCAATGTCTGCTCTAACGTCTTCTTCGTTTAAACCCAGTATATATAATCTTCCCCAAAATATGGGTTGCTCCCTTTACTGTCCAATCCCCTGTCTTGTATGGGGCGTCACCCTAAAAACCATTCCCTTTGACACTAAATAAACATCCTCTCAGATTCCACTTAAAACCTTAACTAAGTCATAATCTTAATACACTACATATTCCCCCCTTCGAGACTAACTAAAAGTCTCGAAAACAAAAAGAACAGGATTATGACAAGTAACAATTTATCTTATTGAGTATCTTTAACATTAAACCCCAAACACTTTTCTCTGGAGTGTAAATACCTTTCTATGAAATATGAACAAATCTTTATGAAGTGTGAATACATTACTATGAAATATGAACAAATCTTTATCAATGCATTTGAAACTATGATGCAATTAAATACACATGAAAGCCCCTGCAAACAAAATACTATCCAAAAAATATCCACACTAAGGCTGGTCGACCCATCGGACCCTACAGTGGATCTCTATCCCTGCCTAGACTCCATGTCCCTAAGCATTCACGAAATAAACAAAAAAATCTAAGATCCCCACATGTATTCAATAACATCAAATATCATTCTACAAAAAGTAATACCTAAGAATATGACACAAATTATGTATTACACATGCAAATATGTCTATATTTCATTGCAGACACTGGAATGTAGTTCACTACACTTCATCTCCCCAGCAGTGTCCTCTTCCAATGCATCTTCGATGATGGAATTGGAACATTTCCACACCTTCCTTGTTCCATCTCCTCCTTTCCCTCATATTGTCCTTTCATATTGTCCCTTCATATTGTCCTTGTTTGAGTATTTCAATCTCTACATATTCCCCCAAATGCTTCTGGAAGAAAAGAAAAGACCAAACAGTATCTTTTGCAAAACAACATTTTCAAATTAAAACATCAATATCAACTAAGAATATAAAAATGATATATAAATGATATATGAATCAATATAAATGATAGAATAATGAAATAGGATAATGTGATTCATTCATACATTTCCCCCCTTTGATTCATAACATCATACTAAAATCACACTAATATTGAAAAACATTTGAAAAATGATCAAATAATCAAAAAGGATATTTATCCATCAATACTCCATCCAGTCCCACTTGTCCCTCTTCATCCAGATCAGGAACAGTCAACAACGGCATCTGAGTGTTGTCTCCAGGCATCACTACTCCAACCCCTCTCAATATCATAGCTTTCGCAAAGGTCAGTAACAAATTACAAAAGCAAAACATCACACACAGTGCCATCAAAGCTGATATTAAAATCTAAACCATCACTGTTCCCACTGGGCCTAACTGATCTTGCAACCAAGACTTCACTGACCATCCAGCTCCTTCAGATCTACCAAATGCATCCCTTATATTCTTCAATGCATCTATAACACTAGTGATATTATCTGAACTATCTGGAATCAAAGTATAGGTAATATTATCAATATGATCTTCCCAAATTTTACACCATACCATGGAAAAATCCCCACTTCTCTCTTAGACTTATCCTCCAATGATAGGCTTCCCTGTCTATGAAATTCCTCTAAAATTGATGCTGGAGCTGTCTGCTCCCTTGTAATCAAATGCAATATATTTATGGCTTTAATAACTATTAATGTTGAAATAGTTAAATTGCTTCTCACTGTTGTTATAATAGACTGAAGTGTTGATGTCCTCGTTGTTACTTCATCCATTCTCCCTAAGACTTTTAACTCCTTACTTGTATTTCCATCTATCACCACTAGTGTCACTACATTCACTCTCTCTTCCTACTAACATTGAAACTTAGCTTACTGTCCTAGAGTTCCTTCAACCCTAGTTTTCCTAACTTTTTAATCTGACTTTTCTCCTAACTTTTAAAAACCTTTTCCACTGATTTATTCACAAAAGCCTTACCACCAATTTTTTTGAATATGTGATTGGGTAATCCCCACCTGCTTCTGACTTCTTCACACACAGACTTGGCAAACGATCGAACATCTTTTAGCCTAGTTTGAAATCTCCTGCACCTCTTGGTGTAGGAATGTAACCAAGAATAACAGTCACCCCTTTTAACTTTATTTTCCAGACAGATTGTCTAATAGGCAGTCTAATAGATTCCCAAAAACCCTACTCTTTTAAAATCTTCTACCAGACAGCCGTCTAGTGTACATCTTATTGTACAGTTCAATTTACACAATGCATCTCTTCCCAACAATGCAATAGGTATATGTTCTAATACCAGTATGTGTATTTTAATTTCTCTTTGATTTTTATAGCAGAGCTCAATTGGTTCCTTAAGAGCAATCAGCTGTTTTACTCCCTCAAATCCCTATCCTAATTAGTTAATTTTACATAGTGAGATGTTTAACCTCTTTTAGGCTCAACACAGATAAAAGCTTTTCCTCTATTCCTTCTCATAGTCCTTTTTATTTTCACTTCGATTGTTGGATATTTTCTTCTTCCTAATCGGTGCTATCAGCTGACACCCCCCTTCGGATCTTCTAGGCACTCTAGAATCCTTGCTCCTTTAAGGGTTCACCTGGAGGACAGGTGATCTTCACTTGCTCCTTTATCTTCCTCAGAAATTCCCTCTGTTGTTTCCTCCTGGCGCATTGCACTCACAGGTAAAGTAACCAACCTGTCCACAATTATAACACTCTTCTGAAAGTTGCTGGAAGTGTGGCTGAAACCTTCCTCCTCCTTCTAAGCCTTCTCGTCCTCCTCCTCTCCAATTCTGTGTCTGTCCAGAAACTGGCTGTGGATATGGAACAACTGGAACCGCTATTGGTGGCTGATGCAATTGCGATTGGAACTGGTCCTGTTGAAGCTGTGGCAGTGATTGTTGATTCAGTTCACTCTGATTATTCATAACCAAAGCTTGCTTCTTCTCCTTCTTATCCTCCACCAGTTGTATTTGATTGAGTTTTCTGAGATTTTCTTCGTCCTGTTCTTTCTGGTTGTGTTCCTTTTTTCTGTACAAATCCACTTGATGGGCTATATGATCTGTATAGACACCTTTTGTCATGCTTCCAAGTCCAACCACCTCTGCCAGTTTACTCCTTACTGGTGAGGGCAGTCCCATCTGCAATTTAGCTCTCAAAATTGACTGCTCAATTTGACTCACATCTGGATCATTTCCAGTAATATTTCTCCACACTTGATGGACTCTTGACACATAGGCTCTCGGATTTTCTTGTTGTCCTAGTGGGTCAATCAGAATATTATCAGGATGCACATTTGTTGGAAATGTATATTTCAATGCTCTCCACAGACGATTCCTACTTGCAGCCAACAATTCAGGATCATTCACTGCAGTCCCCACATATCTATTCAGTCCCGCTCTCTGAAAAATTTCTTCCATACCTAGAATCCCCAGGAGATTAGCAAAAAGCATCTTAATATCTCCTATAGCAGACTGTGTTCCCACTGTAATTTCTTCCAATTTTGAAATCCAAGGATAGGCTCCATCTTGAAGAGTAGGCAACTTCTCACGTATATCTGACATATCGGTACTTTGCAAAGGCTTATATTCTAAGTTTCGACCTCGAATGATCACCGGCATAATTTTCTTACTAGTGCCCTCTTTCCTTGGCCTCAATGTATATTTCTTCTCAGATTCTCTCTGTATCTTCAGCGTCTTGAGTTGTTACTCCAGTTCTTTTACTTCTTCGAAAATCCTCGCTTTATCCAGGCATGATACGCATCGGTCTATATCTCTTTCTATTTCTTCTGTGCCAGTCATTGTAGGATAAAATCCTCTTGAATATGAAGCACCCTTACTCTCCCACTCTTTATCGCTGTCTTCATCTTCGCTTTTACCAGAACTCGAATCTCTTGTTGTCTTCTTCAAACATCCATCACCCCTTCTTTCCTCTCTTGCCAACCTCCGTCTGATCACAGGATCATATCCACCCATGATCTCTTCTGAATCACTCTGATCATCATCATCATCATCGTCATCGTCTTCATCAGGTTCCATTCTCCTGAACCTCATTCTACCCTTAGTTTCCAGACATCTCGGTTTTTTCTTACTTCTGGAGTTTGGATTCATTTTTATGGTCGTTTCTGCTTGTCCTCTCTCTATTATTCGTTCATCTTCATCTCTGATGCAATAATCACCCTCCTGAACGATCACCGGAGGCTGAGGATAAACGTCGTTAAGCTCTACTTCTTTCTCATAAGGTGGGGGTCTTTTTGCTGAATCCGTATGTGAGAAAGGTGTACTGACTTCTGCCATTAGTTTTTCTGTCGCCTTTCCCTGTTTCACCATTTTTTCTATACCTTTGTTTATTTTATCGCTGGAATCTTTTATCAGTTTTTGTCCTTCATTCTCAAACAACTTAAGAACACCCAGCTCTCTTTGTCTCTTTTCTTTACGTTGTTCCCCTTTTTTTCCCTTTCTTTTGATCTGCTTTATGAATTGACAGAAGCACTTTCATTATGTTGATTACGTCAGGGTTAAGAGTCCCTTCCACTGGCCATGGTTGTTCAATGTCAGGCCAACGTTTGCTCCATTTGCCAGATAACTTTGCAATACCATTAACTAAAGGATTACTATTTTCAACTATATCAACAGGTGTAATTACTTTCACAGCCTTGATGTCCTTTTTCCCCATTGTAACAACTCTTTTATATTCCTTTATTGTGAATTATTTTATTTTAGACTATATAGCCTATGGCTTCCCCCCTTTAATTATTAATATAAACTAAACAATCAAAAAACAA